ATTGGACTGGAAAGGTCAAAACATTGATGAATAGGTTTTATCATTTTCTTACACTCTTGATATTTTTCTGCCTTCCATAACTTATAATAAATCTACTTGAGATGCAAATGCATACAGCATGTGGAAATAGGGAGGCAAACAGAGAATCAGCTTGCAATTTTCTTTCTGCCTAGAAGTTGTAATATCTATGTGATTATAAGGGCAGCTAGAAATACTTCAGGCTGAATTTTCTGGGTTTTTTTTTTTTAAAAAGGAGAGATTATGTGCAAGGCATAAGAAAATACATTAACTGCATAATTGCACATATAAACTCTATATGTTTTTTTAAAAAAATAGCATCCATGAGGTCTCGCAGTGTGTTTTCATTAACACTTAATTTAGAATTTGCAGGACAGATACCACAGAAGGAGAACGCCAAAAGATATGCCTGGACTTTTAATACATCTTTTAAAAGTTTTATTAAGAAATTGTCCTTAAATACATCACAGCGTCAAAAGGATATAAACCCAATCAGTTGGATGAGCCCTAACAGTGGAGAAGTTCCGTGTTTTGGAACTTGACTAAAAGGGAGCTGGGAAAAACGGGCAAATCTTGTAGTGCTTTTCCCTATTTCTCCACCCTTTGGAATTCTCATTTCTGGGATAATTAGCAAGGGAAAATCAGTGTTTGTATTTATAGTCATTGGAGAGAAAGGGATTACAAGAGAGTAAGTACCGTATTATTCAGACTATAAGATACACCTGACTATAAGACACATCTAAATTTAGAAGAGGAAAACAACAAAAAAAGTTTTTGACCTACCTTTTTTGGGCCTTTTTCCAGCCCTTTTCCAGTCTTTTTTTGGCTGATTCTCAAGGCTTTTTTCAGCCCATTTTTGAGACTTTTTGCAGCTCATTTTTGGAGCTTTTTTGGTCCATTTTTGAGGCTTTTGGGGGGCCGTTTTCAAGGCTTTTTGCGGCCCATTTTAGAGGCTTTTTAGCCCATTTTCAAGACTTTTTGCAGCCAATTTTTGGAGGTTTTTTGGCCCATTTTTGAGGCTTTGGGGGGGCTGTTTTCAAGGCTTTATTTGGCCCATTTTGGAGGCTTTTTTCACCCTGTTTTTGATGCTTTTTTCGGCCCATTTTCAATGCTTTTTTTGGCCTGTTTTAGGGCTTTTTTGGGCCTGTTTTTGAGGCTTGTGGAGACTGTTTTCGAGGCTTTTTGCAGCCCATTTTGGGGGCTTTTTCCAGCCTGTTTTTGAGGCTTTTTTTGGCCGTTTTTTTCCTTAAAAAAACGGGCTGAAAAAAGCCTCAAAACTGCCCCAAAAAGCCTCGAAAAAGGGCCAAAAAAAAGGCCTGAAAATGGGCCAAAAAAAGCCTGAAAACAGGGTGTGTGGAGGCAAAAAAAAAACGGCCAGTGGGTGGGCGGGGCTTCGGCAATATTCGGTCTTGCACAAACATTTTCGCCCCCTTTTGGGAGACAAAAAAGTGCATCTTATAGTCCAAAAAATACGGTAAGTACACAATGGAAAATATACAGTAGTCCTTGATTTACAGCAGTTCATTTGGTGACCGTTCGAACTTACAACGGCACTAAAAAAGTGACTTATAACCATTTTTCACACTTAGAATCATTACAGCATCCCCGTGGTCATGTGATCAAAATTCAGATGCTGGCAACTGACTCATATTTATGGCAGTCACAGTGTTCCGGGGTCACGTGATCACCTTTTGCAACCTTCTGACGTGCAAAGTCAATGGGGAAGCCAGATTCACTTCACAACTGTAGCAAGGGTTCGTAAAAATGGGACAAAATTCACTTAACAAATGTCTCACTTAGCAACAGAAATTTTGGGTTCAGTTGTGGTTATAAGTCAAGGACTATCTGTACCTTAAAAAGAACATTTTGTTCTCAGCAAGCGTAACCTGCTCCCCACTTAGGATACAATAGGAAGCTTTTAGTGTGGGACTAATTAGGATTTTGCCAATTCCCGATAGCACAAACTGGTCCTGGGTGTTAATTAACTAATCAAGGTTGCAGAGCTGAGTTAACTTGTGGTTAGCACCTTTCAAGGAAGTGCAATCTGTGCAGCAAAGCAAAGATTAGTTTAAGAAGAGATAGCTTGTCCAAGCAATTTATGCCCTCGGAAATTCTGCAAAGGGGACAGGGAGGGGAGGAATCTAAAAAATACGAGTGAGGCAGTCAGGCGCAGGACACAGTCTTAACAGTATGTTGTTTTCCTGATGAATTTTCCCATAGTATAAATCTGCTGAGGATGAATTTTAACAACTTGAGTAGACTGAAACATTTAAACCTTAGAGAAAGATTTCCTAGACACTCTTAAGAGTGTCTAAAGGAACAATCTAGTCAGGGTGCAAACAAGGGTGCAAATTAGCTTCACTGCCATCTCTCTCGCTAACTGAATAGCTTGCAACATTTTGGTTTCCATTTTTGTTTTGAATACCTGGAACCAGCAGGCACCCTTTGAGTTGTGGAAAATGCCTCATAGATTAAACTTGATCCCTGCCTGCCTGCAGAGGAAGGGCCTGTCTGGAACCGGGGGAAGCCTGGTTTCCGAGATAATTTGAATTCACACAAGACCCCATTCCCACCTTTTCTGAGAGATGGAATGGAACTTAAGACTAGAAGGCTTTAAAACATTCTTTATTTTCTTACATTGTTTTTTTTCCCCAGAATTTTCCCCTCAAGACAGAGGCTGAAACCCAGTAGCATTATAGAGTTGTGTGGGAGTTTTCTTCTCTTTTTCCCCAATGGCCATTATTCTTTCACTGGCAGTGAACTGTTTTCTGTTCTTATAAGTACATATTTAGCCCTTGCTTGCTTCTGCTGGCTGTGAAAGACAGCAGAGACAAAATAAGAGTTTGTAAGTGTGTACTTCAGTCTAAGTAGGAAAAAGTAGTTGGGGTAAAGGTGTCATTTCAGAAAATGCATCTTCCCTATTTTTGTGATTGTAGACCCATCAACATTAGTCACTGATTTAGAGACTTGGGTTGTGTTACTGGCCTCCACTAGTTCTTCTGTGATATCCAGCAGTTTGACAATTGAAAACCTTGAGCCACCTTACTCGCACATTCACAAAGTGGTGTCATTAAAAAGCCACATTAGCCTGGTTCCTAACAACTCTGTAATCTTAACACCATTAGCCTGTGTTAGAAAAACAAGTATTGAAGGTTTCGTCTTAGTAAGGCCCTTCCTTCAAAGGCAGAGAAAATATTCCTTGGCACTCCTCTTTCTTTCTCATCTTTCGGTGTTGTAGCTTAATGAAAGTAAATTGAATAAGAGAATACTTTGAAAATTGTGGCCATTGGTGATCCTCATTTGAAGGCAAAATCCTCATTACCATACTTTTCAGAGTATAAGACACACTTTTTCCCCCCTAAAAAGAAGGTGGAAATGTTGGTGCGTCTTATATACCGAATACAGCAATTTTTGGCCTCCCGAAACCTTGCCCTGTGCGTCCCGTTTTTGCCAAAAGCAAGCCCATTTTATTTGAAAAAACAGGATGCGCATACGGTTTGGGAGGTCTGCAGAGTGCTCCTGGGGGCTGGGGAGGGCAAAAACGTGTGAGAGGTTTGGGAGGCCAAAAACCGCCCCATTTTTCATGAAAATGGGCCTGTTTTTCGCAAAAACAGGATGTACAGCGGGTTTGGGAGGCCTGCAGCGTGCTCCTGGGGACTGAGGAGGGCAAAAACGCGACATGGGGATTTGGGACATGGGGGTTTGCCAAAAGTAGGACAACCCCCCCCCCCCCAACGTGTCACATTTTTGCCCTCCCCAACCCCCAGGAGCACGGTGCAGGCCTCCCAAACCCTCTGCACGTTCTGTTTTTCGCAAAAATGGGACACAGAGGGTTTGGGAGGCCTGCAGCGTGCTCCTGGGGGCCAGGTAAGGCAAAAACCGAATGTGCGGAGGCCAAAAACTATTTTTTTCTTGTTTTCCTCTTTGAAATCTTTGTGCGTCTTATAGTCCGAAAAATACAGTAGATAATATAAAATACAAACTAATACTGTGTGGTGGGAGCCTCCTCTCCCACATTCAGGTAATCAGTTATTTTCACTTTGGCATTTGCTACTCTTGTAATCAGTTTAATAAGTAGGTTTCCTTTGAATTGCTGATAAGTAAAGTCTGATCATTTTGTGTAGCTTACTTTTTAAATTAAGGCACCGGATGGAGAAAATGGAGTGAAATTACACTTTAGCACATACCATATTTTTCGGAGTATAAGACGCATTGGAGTATAAGATGCACCTTAGCTTTTGGGGAGGAAAATAAGAAAAAAGCTGATTGGCAGGTGGATCGGCCTTCCGGAATACCCCCAATCAGCTATTTCCAGAGGTGACTTTTAGCAAGGTTCCTTGGTTGTGAGCTCTGTGCCTTGCTTTTTTTTTTTTTTTTGCTTTTTTTTCTGCCATTTCTGCCAAACTCCATTTCAGAAAAAAAAATTTTTTTCCTGTCTCTGAAAGCCTCCGAAACAGAACTTCAGAAAAAAAGCCTCTGAAGCTCTGTTTGGGGGCTTTTTTTCTGACGCTTCATTTCTGATGCTTTTTTCAGCCTCTGAAACCTTCGTTTGAGAAGCTGGGCGGGGCTACATTCAGAGTATAATTCACACCCAGATTTTCACCCTCTTTTATGGGGGAAAAAGGTGCGTCTTATACTCTGAAAAATACAGTAGTCTTTATTCTGACTTAAATAATTATCTAAGTCTCTTAGATCTTTGGGGATAAAAGCAATCCAATATACTGTAAATATTAAAACATAAACATAAGTAGCTGACTCTTCATGGGGTTATCAAAGCAACAACAAAGACAGCTCAGATGAAGAAAGAAATCCTTAGTCCATTGTCACAATGTCCCTACAAGGATTGCTTGGATGGCCACAGGTCATCCAGTGAGCTCCATAGTTAAGTGAGATTTTGAAACTAGCCTTTCCAATCCTAGGCCACTGACTTAATCATCACACTTTCATGCCTCTTTTCAATGTTGTCTTTGTCCTTTTGTTAGGTTAGGAGAGTACCGGGTTCTAGTGGCCATCTCCATAAGACAGAGGATGGAGACTGGGAATGGAGTGACGATGAAATGGATGAGAAGAGTGAAGAAGGCAAGGCCGCTTTTTCCCAAGAGAAGGTAATTTTTGGGAAACCACATGGCAGCTCAAGTAAACATTCATTATTTTGATACTCCGCTGGTAACTAATTAATTATGATGCTTTCCTTTTAGTCACGAAGAGTAAAAGAAGAAGATGCAGAGGTAAATAGTTAATTTCTTTCTCTTTGTGTGTAGGAGTGTGTGTTGTATTGAATTTGTCTCTATATTTACATGAAAATGAATGGTAATTTTCAGTAATATTTTACCATTTGAAGTTCAGTGTCTTTTTAATATTTTCAACGAAATGTAGATTTCAGTTTTTAAAAACGCATACTGCTTTTCCCTAATAACTAGAATCTGAGGCACAATTCACTGATGCATAATGTGACAGTATTAGTTTTTAATAAGATTGCATGCATTAGTTTTTGTATGCCACTTTTAAATAACTCCATATGTGTAAGTCTATAGTCTGTTGTTAAACTTGAATTATAAAGCTAATATTTAGCAGTTGGTTTTTTAGCTATTCAGAATTTATTAATGTTCTTTGTAATTTAGTACTTTGTCCAGAGAATTTGTGCTCTTGAGTCAATTTGAAGTACAATGATAAATGAATAAAGATTTAATGTTTCCTTCCCCTTTTGTTCTTTCTGTGCTAGCTTAATCTGCAGAGGAGGGTTTGAGGGCAGACAGAATTTTGGTGACACATAAGACTTCTGTTCTCACAAATTTATTATGCAGGATTAACAGGCTTTATTTAATGGAACTACAGCATCAAATCTTGTTTGAAATCCTGCTTGCTATTTTTTTTTATTCCTGGTTTTTACTATTTTGCATTGTGGATGTATTAAGTAACATGTTTTGTGTCATCTTCTAAAGATTTAAACTCTTCTTAACAGATATCCGTGTATTCCAGCAATATCCCTGACCAAATACAGAACCTGTCTATAAAAGGTTCTCAGGTATTGTTACTATTAACATTAGATATTATGCATAGATTTGTTGGTTAATTCAAAGTTCCCCAACATTTCCGGCTTTGCGGACCAGCAGGAGAGAGAGAACGGTTGGTTCCGTACAAGTGGCTGGTAAGCATGTGCACGTGTGCGCAGCTCCATTTGTGCGAGCGGTGTGCACACACACCTGCCACTCACTGAAATGGAGCACATGCATGCACGCTCGCCTGCTGCTCATGTAAGTGAGCATGTGTGTGTGCGCACTCGTTGGCCGTTTCTGCAGCCCTGTTACAAACGCCTCACAGTCCACTAGTGGGAACCTCTGAGTTCCTTTGCACTCAAATTGTGTCATCTAGTACAGGGCTGGGCAACTATGGCCCTTTTATGACTTGTGGACTTCAACTCCCAGAATTCCTGAGCCAGCCATGTTAGCTCAGGAATTATGGGAATTGAAGTCCACAAGTCATAAAAAGGCCATAGTTACCCACCTCTGATCTAGTAGATACAGACTTTGACTGAAGTAGCCTTGTAATAGCTTCCTTGCAATCCCAGTTTCTCATTAATTACAGATTCACTAGGCCACAAACTGATTTAAAGATTGCCTGGGTTCTCAAATTATGTGTTTCTTTCCTCATGGCTAGTTCAACAAGCCACAGTGTTCTGGTTTATACAATGCTCAGCCATGAATCATTGACCATTAACCAGTCGTAATGGTTAAATCCATGCCATAGGCTAAGCTAAAAATACATATATGCATTGCATATTTGTATTTTGCATTGTATTGCATTAAACATTTATCTAGCTGCCCATTATACCAAACTCTGGGCAGCTCCCAATCAAGAATTAAAACAACATAATAAAGTATTTAATCTATAAACATTAAAAAAAAAACCACCAAGGGCAATTCACACTTCCTTTTGACCTCATCCTTTCCCAGAGCTTGGAGGAAACGCTGAGTCTTCAGCGCTTTTTGAAAATCTAGGAAGGTAGAGGCCTGCCAAGCTTCATGGGTCAGAATCTTCCATAGGGCTGTGGCTGCCACAGAAGAAGCACATTTCCTAGCTCCTGTAAGGCGGCAATGTTTTAAGTGAAGGGACTGGAAGCATGCCCACCCTACCTATTCTGGTAGGACAGGTAGGCATCCTTAAGGAAAGGCAGTCCCATAGATAACCTGGTCCTGTCTCATATAAGGCTTTAAAGGTGATAACCAGCATCTTAAATTGCAACTGTAAGAAAACTGGAAGCCAGGGCAGTTTCCATAATAGAGGTAAACCTAAAAAGGGTGTTCTTAGGTTTATATGGGTAAACCTAAGAACACCCATCACGGTGTGCAATGACACATTCTAGAACAGTGGAAACTTCCAGAAGGTCTTCAAGGGTAGCCCCATGTGGAGGCCTTGCACCTCTGATTCGTAGGTGACAGCACGAGTGACTGTGAGCAAGGCTTCCTGGTCCAGGAAAGGTGGCAGTTGGCTTGTTAGATGAATCTGTGTAAAGGCCTCCTTAGCTATGGCTGCGATTTGCTCCTTCAGCAGGAGCTGTGAATCCAGGAGGGATCCCCAAATTGCACACCAGCTCAGTCCAGAGAAGTGCCAGACTTGATGATTTAGTGTGATGTATAAAACCAACATTGATAATGTCTATGGAGATTCTCAGTCATCCTAGTCATGGTTATCCCAAAGTGCTTTTTCAAAAGGCAACTGGACTTTGTTTTCCCATGAGGACATTTCGCTTTTCATCCTAGAAGCTACTTCGGTTCTGACAATTCTGACAGAACTGAAGAAGCTTCTTGGATGAGAAGTGAAACATCTTCAAGGGAAAACAATGTCCAGTTGCCTGTTGAAAAAGCACCTTTGGAATAGCATTGAGTTGAGCTATTGCCCAGCTACTGGTTGAGGAAGCTGTTTACTTAGTAGTCAAGCAAAGTTGACTGTTCTCATGATGATTTGAAGGGAAGATGTAGTGTAAACACATTACTGCTGAAAGTCATGTGTGAACAGCGTCACTAAATTCTGTTTATATCAAATGTGAATATTTTAATTGTCACTAAAGGCTATGGCTACTTTCCAGCTATTTAATCTTTTATTTTATGCAATAAAGTTGCAAACAATAATCACTGCTGGGATTCTCATAAAATGTACTGCTCTGTTAAATAAACAAGAAATTTGTTAGTAGTACCCCAACGTATTAAGCTGGGAAAGTGTTTAAAATTCTAAGGGCTTTTGTTTTTAATACCATACATTTATCAGATTAATCAGGGGAATAGACTTATATTGGTTTTTCCCTTTGCCACCTTACTGTAATCTGTGCCAGTTTTAATATCTGACTTGCAATTTCAGATTAGTGATGACCTCTAAGTTAAACTGGATAATTATTACCTTAAAGAATTGAACCCATCCCAGTTTTTAATATGGCAATTTAAAAAGATGTATTCCCTCCTTCTTTTTCATTAAGGCACATTCTGCTATTACAAATGAATATAGCTCTGTTCCATGTGCTGTGAATCTTGTTTTACGACTAAGGTAAGAGGAATAAGCTCTCTTTATCTTCATTTCCATTTTTTTGGCCTAGTCAAATATGTTCATGCATGATTCTATTCATTAAATTCTCGTAATATTAACAAGAGAAATGTTAACATGGATGGTCAGCCTCCCAGTATAACCAACATGAATGGTGTTCTCACAACTAATTGCTCTCTTTTAATTGCTTTAAAAAATTAAAAATGGAAGAACAAAATACAGACAACGGAAAGATCTTTAGACTAAAAGCATTCTTCATTAAATATTTTGGAGTTTTTTTTCCTCCCTCTTTCCTTCCATTTCAGGATCATAGAGATTTTAAGGAGCTTCTTTTACTCTATAGCAGTCAACCAGTAACAGAAATAACCATTGTTAACATTACAAATTGCTTGTTGAAAACATTTTTATTGGGCAGGTTTGGTCAACAGTGAGAAGAGGTTATGAGAAAAATAACTGATATATTTTTCAAGCACTTTACCATTTTTAAAACGATGCAAATACGGCTATCAGATGTCATAGTTGTTTGGAAGGAGACTGAGGTTGATTTCCATTTTAAGAAAATGAGTGATTCCTAACCAGGTTTTATGGACAGCTAATTAATTTTCTTAGGTTTAGAATATTTTTTGTATATTCCTAGTTTAGTTTCTCTTTTCTTCTAATCTACCTAAAGTAACTTGGAAAATTAAAACCTCTTCAAAGCTGATTAGTATCTTTATTATTGTAAAGAAGTGGTATTTCTCCCAGTTTCTCTGAGGAATGATAACCTAACCATCTGTTCTATGCCATTATTAGTTCTATGCCCCTCCTGGTTGCCTGGGAAGTGATGTGTGGTTGGACCTATGCAGTAGTATTGGCAGAATAGAATACAAGAGAAGAGAAGAATAGAATAGAATAGAATAGAATAGAATAGAATAGAATAGAATAGAATAGTATTGGCCAAGTGTAATTGGACACACAAGGAATTTGTCTTGGTGCATATGCTCTCAATATACATAAAAGAAAAGATACGCTTATCAAGAATCATAAGGTACGGGGCATCTCATCCGCTCCATCCCAAAAGTAAAAGAAAAACTTTTGGGACTCTGCAGAGAGTTCTACCCACCCCTGCCGGCTCTATCTCCGTTTCCTCATGGGAACGGAGTTTTTTCGAGCCGCCGTTCCGTTGTGAAGGCGGCTCTGACAGGCAGTGGAAGCTGACGATCCCAAAGGAACGTCTGGCGGCGGCCAGCAGCAAACAGGAAGTCCCTGTAAATTGTAAAGATACAAGCAACAAAGTTACAGTCATACAGTCATAAGTGGGAGGAGATGGGTGATGGGAACAATGAGAAGATTAATAGTAATGCAGACTTAGTAAATAGTTTGACAGCGTTGACGGAATTATTTGTTTAGCAGAGTGATGGTGTTTGGGAAAAGACTGTTCTTGTGTCTAGTTGTTCTGGTGTGCAGTGCTCTATAGCGTCGTTTTGAGGGTAGGTGTTGAAACAGTTTATGTCCAGGATGCGAGGGATCTGCAAATATTTTTTTTTGAGGGAAGAACTGGCCATTGCCTCTCATTTTAAAGAAATATTTACATATTTCTCCATTGTTCGTTTGCAGTGTAGTCCTATATAAGGTCTATGGGTCAAACCTATCAGAAAATGCTAAGACGAAGGCTTTTCTTTTATGTAGGTTTTATTTTGCATTTCTTATGTAGTTGGTGAAAGGAAGAATGGGTTATGCCTCTTGTAACAGCCAAAGCTCTGTGTGTTTCACCACAAAATACACTTGGAACTTTTTCATTTGATAATCATGAGAGAAAAATATGCACATACGAAAAGATAAAATGGATTGAATTTTTTGTTTTTGTTTTACTCTTCCTTTTTGTCAGGCATCTACTCTAAGTTAGAAGACTAGAAGGCAAAAAAAGCCCCTTCCAGCTTAAGGGCTGCAACATTGGTTTTGATAAGAGTACGCTTCTGTCCCTTTGGTTATAGGAAAGGGGATGTTGGGTGTATCAGGAGAAATGTAAGTTAAATGGAATGCGTAAGAAGTATGTGTCTGTGTGGTAAAAGAAGAAGAAAACAGATAATAAATAGGTACTAAATGAGCATGGACTTGAATGTAAAACATCAGTAATTAGTAAAAAAAGAATATGTTGATTGGTTTGGACACAGAGAAAGAACTAATAGGGATCAAATCTCATAACAAACATAAGAAGAAAAGGGAAGAGAAGAGTCATGGCTGGATGAAGTGGATGAGTTCCTAAAAAAAAGAAAGATGAAAATTTTAAATAAAAATGAGTACATAAATTGGTATGTGGTTATGGTTGAAGCACTTTAATTTAGGTAGTCAAATATCAAGGTTGTATTGAATACGTTTAGAAAAGTGAGATTCAAAAAAGGAAAGTATAAGTAACACAAACTTAGTATTTTAAGAATAGCCGAAAAATTTATGCATTAGGATTACTGAGAGAGTCTTCCTCTATAGCAGTGATGGCTAACCTTTTTGCCGTGGCGTGCCAAAAGCAGGGGGAGTGCGGGGGTGTGTGCGTGCACGCCCACAACCATAATTCAATGCACTCCGCCCCCGCTGCCCTCCAGGCATGGACGTGTGATCTCCCTACACTCCCCCCGCTTTTGGCATGTGATGGCCCGGTAGGCCCGGTTTTTGCCATCCCCAGGCTCCAGAGGCTTTCTAGGAGCCTGCGGAGGGCGAAAACGGCCTTCCCCCCACCTCCTGGAGGCCCTTCCGAGGCCGGAAACGGCCCATTTCCTGACTTCCGGTGTGCCCAGAAGGCCCAAAAATCAGCTGGCCAGGAGCTCTGATTTCATGAAAATCAGCGCACTGGAGCTTGTGTGCCCACAGATATGGCTCCGTGTGCCACCTGTGGCACGCGTGCCATAGGTTCGCCATCAAGGCTCTATAGTAAAATTCTAAGCAGTGCTGGAAACTGACTTAGTTTTACTATAGAATTCTGTTCGCTGCTATTGTGGGCTTGTGTGTATTCTTCTTCTAGAGGCAAATATGAGTAATAATTCTTCTCCAGTGAAATTTATATCCAGAGCTCAAAGAAAAGGCTTTTATTTGTGCTAGTTTCCTGTATGTTAACAAGAAATAATTCTAGTCAGTGTTGAAATTGCATAGTCTGTCTTGCTGGCCAAAGAATCGGGCATTTGGTTTCAGTGATTCTTGTTAAAGTCTCAGTAATAAAATATACTTGCCACAAACACAAGTGGAGTCTAAGAACAGTGGGAAATAACAGTAATAATTTCAGTATTGCCTTTACTTCTATCATCCCTTCTGCCCTGAGAAAAGTGCTACCATTTTATATGTATCCTGGCATTGTGTCTTAATTTTACCTGTGGTTTACCTGTATCAATTCCCAGAGTCAATGTGTCTGAAATGTTAGTTACTGAGGAGCAAAGAATAAGAAAGTTGTCCACTGTAAGTCCTGCTTGTGAATTTCTTGAATCTGTCCAGTATGATCCAGGATAATGGGATTATTTAGCACATGATCCAGCAGGATAATGTTTATGGAGGTGATGGTGGAGAACATGAATGATTAAGTGCCATCACGTTGCTATCGGCTTTCGGCAACCATAAAATGAGGAGAAGCATGATAGAGGTATATAAAATTATGGAAAATTATCTATGGATAGAGAAAAAATATTCTCCCCCTCTTCTAATTTTACCCATTGATAATAATTACGGTTTCCCAGATTTGCTCTTACTTTCAAAGAATCTTAATCCTAACATTTATTAAGCCAAGACATTATTATTCAAATTCAAATCCAATTTTTGACAGCAGCCTAGCCTTGCAATAATATACATTGTACTTCTCTGTCATAGAAACAAAACAAATTTTTTTTAGAGTGATAAGTAATCATTCTTATGTTAGAAATGTATTTCATGTATCTATTCTGCTTCTTTCGGATTTCATTAAACTTGCAAAACAAATATCTAAGGACTTATTTTCAGGGCATTCTCCACAAAGATTCCCCCTCTTTTTTTCTCAGGTAAAGTGCTTCATTTTTATCAAGGTTTCCTGAACACAATAGAGCCTAAATCAGAACAAAATAATGTTAGGTTAAAAAGAAATAAAGACTTTTGTGATGCTCTTATCAGCAAATCACTGTCCACTGAAACAGTGAACTCGTGATAGTGGCCTTGAAATAAATGTTTAAAGAATGGTAAAAGACTTAATTTTTTATTTCCTTTTCTTCCATTCTACAGAAAAGAAAAACTTTTCTGAGCATCTAAAACTTTAATATAATTGTATCAGACTAGTCAAGGAGTTCTGTATTGAGTAACCATCATCATCTTAATAGATGTTACAGGTTGATAACAAATCTGGGAATCACTTAAGGAAGTAGTATACTCTGATGTTTCTCATTATAGCAAATTGGGGTGACCTGATAAAAATGACACTTCAACATTTCTAAAACTAGTAGAACTTGATGTCCAAACCAGCATTATGGAATCTTAGCACAATTGAGTAAGGCATTGTAATTTCTACAAGCAATCCACTACTATCAGTCATGGAGGATAACTATTTTCAGAAGTGGTTTGCCATTGTTCTCATTCTAGGACTGAGACAGACAGACTGGCCCAAAGACACCCAGTTGGCTTCATGTCTAAGATGGGAGTAGAATTCATTGTCACCTAATTTGTAGCCTGTATTTTAAGCACCACCACAAGCAGGCTCTCTAGGGCCCTCATAAGGGGTCCCTTTTTGTTCTCATTGGTTTTAAAAAGTAACATGCAAGTCTCATTCCCACCCCAGAATCAAAATTGGTCAATTTTTTATTCATGTCCAAAGGGCCCAATAGCAAGATGCAAATATAATCTAGACTTGGCATTAGATAAAACAGTTTAATTAGTAAAATATTTAATAAATATTAGATAATAGACCTAATACCCTAACTCATTGATTTGTTATTAAAGAGCCTTGTTTTTATAGTCATAGTTTAAATTCTGGCTGTTGCCACTGTAATCTTTCTTATTAGGATGTAAACAAGCTGAAC